GTCGTGAATCATACACCACCGGCTGGATGATACGGAAAGTTGTGATAAGGATCGCTCCCGTTTTACCACTTTGAAGTCGCGTTTTTTTTCTTCTAAACCAAATCTTCTAGTTTTAAGCTGTTCAAAGATGGAGTGGAATGAGGTAGATCTGGTGCAGGAGTTTACTGTTGAAGGACAATGCAGCAAAATTAAAGTGCGCTCCTGCAGGATCACATGGGAGAGCCTGCAGGTAAATACAAGGGGGGCACGGTGGGATGCTAAGAGGAAACTGCATGATAACGTTAGCTCAGGGTAATTAGCATGAGCAGCCAAGTGTGCTACAGCGAGTGAGTGGCCGGTGCAGTGTTAACTTTTCTGTTAAGACAGCATTTCGGCTCCTCCTGATCCAGCATTACATTAATAACAGGTTGACTTATGCTTCAGTTACCTTGTTGACATCACATGTACATTTACCTACCTGTAAGTAGTAGTTGCAGTGACATTTTTAGACAGAAAATGGACAGAACATGGACAGAAACGCAGAAAGAATGTGGGATTGTTTGTGAACGTTATCTGTGAGTTAAAATGATGAAAAATTTGCATTGTTATCGTCACAATTAACAATTAAAACTAAATATTCTCTCTTTTGAACAGTGAAAATCCCTCAAAATGCCTATAACTAGTAGCTGAAATTCAAGAATACGTTAATTTAGAGTCTTTAAAAACCTGCATGCCCTTTAACTTCCTTCATCCAAACACAAAATTGCGTCAAGCTGCACCATGTAACTTTAATGTACTGCCTAGAATGTTCCACGGTATGGCATTAAACTTTGATGATAAAAATTCCTCAAAAAGCCCACAACGTACAGTCACCTTTCCACAAAACTGACCCATACTTACCCCGGTGACGTCAATCCAGGAAACGCAAAAACACCTCCAAGTAGACAAGCGGAAAAGTTACATAGTGTAATTATGTGCATTAGAGTAAATTGTTGTTTTAAATGAACGTGCAATGAGTTTTTTTATTTAATCCATAGAAGCATTTTTCAACCACAAACTGAGCAGCCGTGTTTACAAAGCGTCCGCATGATTCAGAGATGACCCGGACACAGCAGTGCACCTCTGGAACATTGGTGTATTAGTAAGAGGTCTATCTGCAGACTGCACATCAAAGCCAGGAGGATCTGCTCAGCCTAACAGGTCAGCAGTTAGCTAATCACATATGGCACACACAGTGACTGCAAAAACACTGTAATGTGCAGGAGAAATATGATCGAAAGACTTTGAAATGTGCCCGTCTGCAAAATGTTCAATAACTCAATAACAAAATGACACTTCTTTTCACACAATTTAGCTGTAATACCTTTCACGTTGCTAATTCTGCACTGTTACAGCCCTGCAGTCCTTAGCTACTTATATGATGGTAGGTTTTTCCGCTAAATTTATATGCTAAGGATTGCTATAGCCCCTAGGCTCTGTTCTGGGTAATGGAGTTTTTGATCCTCTTCTTCTCGAGCCACGGCAGCAGAGGGTCCGCAGAGATACGTGGAGACTTTTAGGGGACATTTAAGATCTCACAGAGGCTTTGGCCATCCAGTGAAATACATTTTTCCTTCTACAGAAAATGTGGCTTCTCTTTCAAATCAAACTCTTAAAAGTTTTGGCAGGTAACTTTGTGGTTGTACAGCTTTGTTTCTCCCCAGGGTAACACGTGTAAAGTGGTGTGTTTTAAAACATATGCACATATTTTAAAAGTGATAATGTTATTTATTTCTTCTTTTACTTTTAATACATGCGAAAGGTGCAAAAATAGAGTCATGTTTTGCAATTCTAGCTGCTTTATTACCCAGTCCTATTGAAAAAGAATTGTGTGTAGTACAATCACACTCAAATGTTTCACACAAAGTACTATTAAGAAAAAATATTGCTTTCCAAGTATCACAGGTCTATAACTGGACTGTTCATATGTGTTAAACATGTGTGAATTAAACAAAACACAGCTCCAGGTATGTTTGTGATAAGGAAACAAAATTATGACATAGATCACTTTAAAGCTGTATTACCCCACTTTTCAAAAATTTGTTCTCCTCTTAAAGTCTATCGTTAAAAACAGAACAGACCAAAAATTGGACCACTGCACACATTTTATTCATCGAAAACGTGTAAGTGAGAACCATGTGTGTCACTATATGACACTGGGATGAGAGATGGTTGAATATCCAAGGGTGGTCCACTCTAGCCAGGCTGGTGCCACCTAGAGCCTCCAGCAACTAGGTCAGGAATCAGAATACACTAGACGGTTTGCAGGAACCCTGGAAGTTAAGCGCCTGTCTGGGTCTCTTTTGTGGAACAGCGCAACAGTAAATAAAGCGGTCGAGATGGATGTATACGAAGACATACATTCTGTGTTGGCAGCAATTCCCGAGATTGAGGTTTTAAAGCCGGAAGAAAGAGAATGTTTGGTGAATTTTATCAAGGGGAAAGACGTTAGCAGCGATTGGTTAAATAAAAAAGTACCTGCCTACTGTCGAGCGAACGAATCCTAATGCTGCGAGGTCAGACAATTTCCACAAAGTGAAATCGACTAGGTCCACTTTGCTTCATTCAAAAACTACTAGTGGCCTAAACATGTATACATGAGAATACTACGTGTCAAAGTTTATACATACTTGCTTTCTCCTTTCATAAAATCAGTTAGGCTAGCTGTAATTGTACCTTACCCTTAAATATTCTTGTTATTTTTGTTTTTATGGTTGTTATAAGTACACCTGTCAAAATCTTGTGTCACTGGGTCTAATAATATACACAGTGAAACCGCACAGAGACTGGCTGTGATGAGTCTGACAAGCTGCTTACTTTTGAAGCCATAGATTGTTGAGACGTTGTATTGTAGAACCGGTTTGTACGCATTTCAACTTTTTCAAAAAATGCCAGAAACATCTCCACACACAATTGCAGGATGTGTTCAAGCTAGAGTTATTTTTTTCCCACCCTGCTCCTCTCCAGTGACACATTTCCGCCATGACGCTTGTAAATCTCAGAAACATATGCCCAGAGACACATCCACCGCTCCTTCTAAGTTGCACTGTGCGTCGAGTGTCCTTGGCTTCATACATTGCAGTCAAAAGTATAGGCAAACTGATCAGCACCCTTTGATTTTTCCAGTTGGCAGTGACAGCTGAGGGCTATTTCTCTCAATCACATAACTAGAATTCTGCAGCACGTGCAAAAACCCTCCAGTTATAGCCTCATGACATTACCACCAAAACCAAAGATGCTCTTTGACCTGTGGCCATGTACAGATGTGGCCTGGTTTTCAACCTGCACTGCCCATTAACTCTGTATGCTGTTCCAGTCACCGCTTTTCAGACTGTGGTCCATGATCCACTGGTTACAGAGACTCCTGGTGGTACAAAGGTAGCTTTTTCCATTTCAGTTCTAGGGATGTAACAATAACCAAAACACTGTGATATCATATCGTCAGAGTTCTCACAATAATATTGTGGGCCATCACAATATATCGAATTACAAGTCTCTTTGTTTAATTGAAGAGTTATGGTGCAGCAACAGCTAAAAAAAAGACAGAGAGAACTACATAGACCATGATCCTTTGCTCCATTTCAGATCAGACTACAAGAAGAAATAACAGTTATAAACACTTTTAAGTCTTAGTTCTTTGGATTAAGTTTTGTCAAGGCATTTTAAGAGGAAAAAGTAGAATATCAACAGTTTTAGCTGTTTAACCTCCACAAAATATCACAATAAATATCGTACTGTGAGATGTTTATTGCAAATCTTGTATCAAGTGATTTGGATATTGTTACATCCCTAATCGTGAGCCTCTCCACCATATCGGGAACTTTCCCACGACATTGCGATAAATATCATATCGTGAGGTTCATACCGTAAAGATATTGTATTGCGAGACTTGGATATCATTACACCCCTATTCAGTTTGTATTTTTTCTTTGAGTTGTTTGAGTCTGAAAATTAAAGAAGACATATTGTGCTTGAGCCATGAGCTATATTGTTATAATCTATGACACCCATGGATTATTTTGTTATCATTTGCACATTTTAAATCGCAGTATTCATACAAAATGACTTAATAAAAGAAACAAACCCGCTGAAAACTGTGGTGGCTTATGGGATTGATCGGCATCTTGAAATAAGGGATTAAAGATTGCTCAAGCATGCATGAATCACTAAATAAAACTTTGAGAGGGTAAATGAGAAGGGGAAACAACTGAAACATGGTTCAAAATTCGGAAAAGCTGATTTTGCATAAGAGGTTTACTACTTTTCTGGTGGTACGCTACCTGCTTGTTGCCATGGTGATGTTATTCCTTTGCCTGGAATGTTATATAGTATGGCATTTCTGTCTTGTGTTTATTTAATCAAATGAAACAGAAAACGCACACCAAAGCTCTGGCAGAGGTTGCAAATGCAAGGAGCAGGAAAATAAAAGTGAAAAAACGCACAATACCATGGTCCAAAGCAAGAAAAATATCTGACGAAGGCTTTTTTCACCAAAACGTTATTTGGGAATGCAGAGGATTTTGGACATCGGCCATCTGAGTGTGCTGTGTGTTTTTTCACTTTTGTCTTGAGTTTATTTAATTACATGTGTTTTCCATCTCCGTATCTCCATGAAGGTTAATGCCCTATAGGTTCATGGGACATTCTAAGCTAAAAGAAAAGTTAGATAGTACCTTTTTAATTTGTGTCATCTGCAGTTTATAGATTTTAAAATTTTTAACTCTGTTTTTTTTCACTTGAAGAAGTTCTGGCCTAGTCCAATTTCAATCTCTCAATTTGAATATTTTTAATTGTCATTTGTATTTTAAAAAACTTGCAATAAACGAACCAAAAAACAAGATAAAAATGTTAATACTGAATAGGAAGGCACATGCAATGTAAGTTTATGTCACTGTAGCTGCTCAAGGAGACTCTAGTGAACCATAGATCCTAAAACAGGCACAGTACAGTGGAATAAAGGTATATTTCTTGTGTGTTCGTAGGTTCCCCGTGTGGAGCTGACCCTCTCCGAGCTCCAGGAAATGGCCACGAGGCAGCAGCAGCAAATCGAAGCTCAGCAGCAGATGTTGGTCGCCAAGGTAACTTTCCAGAGTATGTCAGGTGGACTGGCTGTCAGCGAGGGGAAGGTTATCTGCATTAGAGGGAAAAGGTTTCAGTCTCAGGAATGTGCGTGTGGGTCACTGGTGCTGCCATGGAAACGAGAGGTCAGAGGTCAAGAGAAGACAGGAAGGGACGTTTCCATTGGGTAGACCGCATTCTCATTCTGTGTTTGTGTAACAGTGAACTTATGGGAAATGACCCCCACCACTCACAGGAAATTATGTCAGTAGCTGTTGGGAACTTTTCTAGCCACATTTTCGTGGATAGTAACTAGGGTCATAGTAATCCTGCTATAGCTTAATACAACATCAACAACAATACTGTCTGATCATGCAAAAAAAAAAAAAAAAAAACTTTAAGGAGGGGTTTTCACAGCCTGCTTGTCTCTATGCTGTTATTGCTTTCCCTAGAATGTTCCTCTGTATGGCTTTAAACTACAGACATGCAGGTGACTCTACTGCACTAAGTTACAGGTCAGATATATGGAGAGGCAAGCCTGCTTACAGTAAAAATGTATATTTGTGAATGTTTTTTTTGTTTTTTTTTGAGGTGGAAAAAGATCCATACTGAATATATAAATGCTGGATGGATACGATAACTTAGTGCCTCCACCCAATTTCATTTCTCTCCAGCGACTAGGTCAGGAATCAGAATACACTATAGACAGTTTGCAAGAACCCCGGAAGTTGTAGACCACGCACCGGCCAATCAGCGAAGAGCTGTGAAGCCATGACGTCAAACTCAAGTGCCTGTCTGGGTCCATTTTGTAGTACAGCACAACAGTAAACAAAGCGGTCGAGATGGATGTAGACGAAGACATACATTCTGTGTTGGCAACGATTCTCGAGATTGAGGATTAAAGCCAGAACAAAGAGAATGTTTGGTGAATTTTATCAAAGAGAAAGACATTATTGTCCTCCTTACTTTCTGTTTTTTGGCGCATTACATACATCAGTACCAAATAGCAGCGATTGTTTAAATAAAAAATATAGTACCCACCTACTGTCGAGTGAACGAATGCTAATACTGCGAGGTCAGACGGTTTCCACGAATTGAAACCTAATGAATCAGGCTAACGATCAATGGCACATTATGGAATATTTTAGGCAAAGCGATGCCAGTTGAAGATGTTGTAATTGTAGTAGTAAGTACAGTTATAGTAGTAATCGTAACTGTGGTGGCAGTATTTATATGTATGACTTATGTATGTGTTTGAATTCTTAACCATGTGACTTCCCCCCGTCCCTGCCTCTGATGATACATTTCTTGTATTCCCATTATAAAAATGAATCAAATCACCCAGACAACACTCCAAGGCCTCTAAACTCATCTACTCAGCACTTTAAAAAGCCAATATTTCTCTGTTAAAATTATTTTGCCTTTCCCGTAAGTGCTTCCCTCTCCTTGTCTCCAGCCGCCATGACGATGCAGTTTTCACCCACTTACTATTACTGCATATCCTTGATTAAACACATCCATCTTGTATTATTGCTTCTGCGCTTCTACACCTACGGAGGCCATCTACATCATAGTAAAACAAGCTAGCATTACATAACTTGTTATTAGCGTTTAGGTGACCGCGGTGAGTGATGGTGCTGCTTGCCAACATTCCCCTCCTGCTCCGAAGCGTGTGTGTGGGATAGTGGCAGGTCAGCTCTACTACGTGCCAGAGGTGTAAACTGCAGAGATCAGCATCGCACATAGCTATTTCCCTGTCTATTTCCTCTCCTCTGGTTGGTTTATAATGTGTGGCTGGCTGAATAAAAAGCACATAATTTCTTGGTGAAAACAGTGACTTGATGTGGTGATTAGTCGTAGCTTTTATATTCAGTGATATGACAAATATATCTATAATTGTTCTCTATAAACTTTGGCTTCAGTTATCGGGGGTAAGAAAGTTTTAAACATCAACATGATGGATACGGACCCAACACAATACAATAAAAGTGCGTGTATACCTGAAAGGGTTTGACAGCGAAGTGGCAGCCGAAGATTTATGGCTCAAAACAATCTCTCGTCTGCTTTTCACTAGATATTCCTGCCTGCCATATGCTGCGGAAAAACAAATTTGTTCTAAAGTTATCTTGTGGTGCTTGTGAAATCTGTGTGTAATAGATTTTTTGGAAACAATATGTGAAGTTTTGATTGTAAAGATAGACTGGGTACGGGGAAATGTTTTTGTAATTCAAAATACAAAACAAAAGAAAAAAGTGTTAGTAACAGCTAAAGGGAGTAAGAAGAGAAATCGTATTATGTAAAACGTTTTACAAAGAATATGCCGACATCAACAAAGCCTGCGTGATTCCATGGAAATAGAAAGTTAAACCATGCTTTGGAATATTCCCCATGGAGATAGATGAGTTTTATGAAAATTCTGTGGAGTATTATTGCCAAAAGAACAACATTTCCATTGAAATGTCCAAGCCAAATTAGAGTCAGCTTCGTGGAGATACTAGCCAGCTACATTTTTCACAGCAATAAACACATCTACATTGTTTTGCCTATAATAAAATTAAAAAAACACATAGTACATGAAAAAACAAGAACTGGTGATTCTTTATCACTTTAACAGACATATTAAGTTTAAATCATATTCATGTGTGATTGTGTTATGTATTGTCTGCAATATTAACATTTTATTTTGTAGGAGCAGAGGCTGAGGTATCTGCAGCAGGGAGGTCGTGGCAGCCAGGCACAGTCTCAGGTGTGGTCCAGATGTCTCCTGTGAATTAAATGTAACAAAAAAAAAACAAGACATGCGCAGAAAGTTTAAATCTATACTGTATTTAACCATTCTAGTCTGAAGCGGAGAAGTTGCAGAGGTTAAAGGAACGCGTGGAAACTCAGGAAGCGAAACTTAAGAAAATCCGAGCCATGAGAGGTCAAGTGGACTACAGCAAACTGATCAATGGAAACCTCTGTAAGTTTACACTGCTGGGGTTTCAGAGAGGTGGAAATTAGCACAGTAGCAATTAACAATTCAAAACTACATGTCCTCATAATGTTGCCTTTAAACAGGAAGCTGAAACAACACATGTATCATTCGTTCATTCAACTATTTTCTTCATTATTCATCTCCAAAACCAAAATAAAAAAAAAGATTATTTTTTTCAGTTTTTGATTTTGTGTTTAAATGAATAATGGAAAAAAAAACAGATAACAGCCATTTCCTGTTTCCGTGGGACCAGACCGGGATCAGGGCCAGGACTGAGACCAGGACTGAGACCGAGACCAGACCGGAACTGAGACTAGGACTGAAACCGAGACCCGACCAGGACTGAGACCGGTTTAGCCCGGTTTAGTCCTGCTTTAGACTTGGTTTAGTCCTGGTTTAGTCCGTATGCAGTGTAAAAGTCCGGCATCGTAGTTTAAATCATGGAAACGGGAAACGGTTGTTATGTGTTTTTTCCATTATTAATAAAAACAAAACAAATAATGAAGAAAATAGCATTTTTTTGTTTTATTTTTTTTGGTTTTATTTTGAAAAATTAATGAACAAATGATACACGAATTGAAACCCATAATTTGACAACATATTTTAATGAATTTGAACTACACATTAATATGCTTACACTACTAGATAAATCCCTTCTTTGCTCTGTGGTGGTCATGGTTTAATTATGATGAAGTAAGGCAGCTATAATGGATGTCGTGCTTCAATTTCACATTTTGCTGAGTAATTTCTCCTTCTTCTCTCAGCGGCCGAGATTGAGCATGTTAGCAATCTCTTTCAAGAAAAGCAGGCCGAGCTGCAGACTGCTGTGATCCGGGTGGACCAGGTACCATCACACACAGAGCATGAATAAAAGATCAATATTAAGTTGATATATTTTACATTTCGGCTATTATTTTTAGCTGACGCAGCAGTTGGAGGATCTGAGGAGAGGTCGTCTTCAGCTGCATTCATTGGGGCCACAGCAGGGAGCACCCACGGGACCCCAGGGCGCACACATCACCGGACAGAAAGGGTCACCTCTGTCTGGGCCTGCAGCCATCGAGCTGAGGAAACTCTACCAGGAATTACAGGTACATTTATCATCACAGACATACTACTCCAAACGTGCACTGTCAGTTAATAGTATAACAATACTTCACTAGGATGTATACTAGTATATACCTAACAATCATATTGTTACTACTACTTTGTTAGCTATTACTAAGTTGTGCTACTATTACATTTATTTCAGTGACAAACACATTTATTAACGCCTGCTACTACGATGACAGCAATAAAAAATCCTGCTACCTGTACTATTATAAATGGTATTAGCTTCTTTAAAGGCATAATAAATATGCTTCATAATTTGTGTATTTATTAATTAGTTTGCACATTTCTTAAAGGGCTATTGTGCTATTTTCTGATCTACTGTATGTTAATAATAATAATAATAATAATAATAATAATAATAATAATGTTTTTAAACTCCATACACCTTCACTAACAACATCTGGACTTTCTTATTTCTACTGAACTAAAGGTAAAAGGTAGCCTTTAACTTGAAAACTACCACTACATGACATCACAAGACGGAACAAAGCATTTTCAGCGTAAGAGATATAGACTGACTAATTTTAAAGCAGACATGTCAGACTAAGGCCCAGGGGCCAAATTTGGCCCACGGTATATTTGGCCTGCGAGATCATATCAAATATGTATTAGTGCTGGGCTGCTGGCTACAGATCGGCTATAGAGACATTATTTATTTAAATTATTTATTTATGCTTGTTCTGGGTTCATTGTTTAAGCAAAACTATTATTAAACATATTTTTTAATGAGAAAAGGTTTAACATTACATTATCTCGAAAGAAGAGAAAACATGCAAATGTTGAAATTTTTCTGTAAATATTTAGTTTGGCTCACGACTTAGTTGCAGTTTTAAATTTTGGCCCTCTGTGAATTTGAGTTTGACACCCCTGCTTTAAAGGATTACTCAAACATGTGTGAATGCCAAAAAAAAAAAAAAAGAACTCCAGGTAACAACATTATAACGTGGCTAAAATCTCACAAGAGTACATTTTGTGTAATATAGGACCTTTAATATTTTTGTATATCTATTTATTGACTTGAAAATTCTATGCAAATGTTGTTTTATTTAACTGTATATGGTGTGATCTCTTTACCAGGCTAGAAACCGCCATAACCTGGAGCAGAGCAGCAAACTGGCTCAAAACAAAGAACTACTGAACAAGAGAAACACCCAGGTGACCATGATGGACCAGCGCATCGGAGACCTAGAGCGACTGCACAAGAAGAAAGCTGAGGTACTCCCCATCTCGTATCAGGGCAGAGTTACATTCAACTGTATTACTTTTATTTACCTAATATCTATCTTATTCTAGCTAAGCCGTCTGAATGGAGGAGGGGCCCCAACTCCACCCACTTCTTCTCACCCGGGGGGCAGTGTTTCAGGGCGGGTGGCAGCTGTGTGCCCGTACATCCAGGTCCCATCTGAAAACAGACAAGACAAGAGCTACCCTCTGCCCCCGGACCCACCCACCAAGCCCACTCCTCTCAGCCATATCCGCTCTCAATCAGGTTAGCACAATGACTACAGAAATTACACTTACACTTATTAGGCCTGTCACAGTAAATACTATGTAGACTTAGATGACTTGAACAATAATTTTTGGGGTCAGTATTTATCATGGGTGTTTAAAAATGTTTTCTTTGTAGTTCTTTTGTACTATTTGGGTATTTTTCTGTATTAGGGTGAGATTTGAGCTGAAGAGAGTTAATCCGTGTATCCAAAACAAAAAAATGAATTGAAAAAATGGATAACGATTTGATTTTTCAGTTTTCGATTTTGTGTTTAAATGAATCATGGAACAATGGATAACGGCCGTTTCCTGTTTCTGTAACTTAAACTGTGCCGGACTTTCGCGCTGTGTACGGACTGAACTAGGACTAAAACAAGACTAAAACAGAACTAAACCAGGACCAAAGCAGGACTGAGTGTCAAGACAGGCTTGGAGAAGCGCCCGTGTAGACTGTTGGGTGCTCAGGATGGAGACCAGGACCGGACCAGGATCAGACTGGGGCTGAGACTGGGACTGAGACCAGGACTGAGACCGAGACCAGACGAGGACCGAGACCAAGACCAAACCGGGACCAGGACCAGGACTAAGACCAGGACCAAACCGGGACCAGACTAGGACCAGACCAGGCAGGAATGAGACCGGGACTGAGACCAGGACTGAGATTGGGACCAGACCAAGACCAGACCAGAATTGAGACCAGGACCGAGACTGGGACTGAGACCGGGACTGAGACCAGGACTGAGATTGGGACCAGACTGGGACCAGACCAGAACTGAGACCAGGACTGAGACTGGGACTGACACCGGGACTGAGACCAGGACTGAGACCGGGACCAGACCAGGACTAGACCAGGCAGGAAAGACTGAGATCAGGGCTGAAACTGGACGCAGACCTGGACTGAGACCAGAACTCAGACTGGGCCCAGACCGGGACTGAGACCAGGACCAGACTGAGACCACAAACACAGAAATGGGAAGCGGCTGTTATCTCTTTTTTCCATTATTCATTTAAACACAAAATGAAAAACTGAAAAAACTAATCATTATCTGTTTTTTCATTTTGGTTTTGGAGACAAATAATGAAGAAAATAGTTGTTTTTTCGTTTTTCCTATTTTTGGTTTTATTTTGAAAAATGGATGAACAGATGATACATAGATTAGAGTTGAATTATGACTCATAGATACAAAATAACTACTTAAGTGTTGACATCAGCTATTTTTTTATTGCAGCTCATACTTTTTTAACCCTATTGTACATTTAAAGTAGTTTTAGAGCGCTATTTCTGTTTTATGGTTTGGTTTCAATATTATCATTTATTGTCTATATTTCCTTCAGCTATATATCACGCTTGAAAATTAGTTGTCGTGACAGGGCTGCGTACTGTTTTGATATATATGATTCTAATGGTTGTCTTTGGATTTCTCACCCTACTTTTTACCCTTAAATGTTGTTCTTTTGTTCATTACCCCATTTTTGTTAATTATTTGCTCGTGACATCATTGCTGGGTGACCGTGATGATGTGTTCTGCCCCGGATGGTCTCCTACTTCTGTTTTTGTTGTTGTGAATTTTGCACCAATCAGAAGAGGACAGGAGTGCCGTCAAGAAGCCTCCCAGCCAATGGAAAGTGTCCGATTTAGACGTGGTCATCGGTGCGCCCCCAGAGAAATGGGAGGGTGACAGTATCAACAGTGAGTGCACAATTGGTGAAGGGTGCCCACATTCACAAAGGAAGGCCATGACAAATAAGATGGTCACACCTGCTTCCATGTCCAATACCCTCAGTCTGTTTTGGCTCAAGTCAAGGCCTGAGGTAGGGTTTTTTTGGAACCAGATTAAGATTTATGTCAAATTTGTGAGTCACAGTATTTTGATCAAACTTGCATATCGTCACAGGAATGAGATTAGATTTTTCTTACCATATTGCCCAACCCTGACCAGAACAAAGCAAAAAGTTTGAACAACAGCATTGAGGAACAGATGGTTAGGACTTGGGACAGTATTAGATCAGCTGTATGAAATTAACCTCTTAATGCAGAGAGCAGGATGTAAAGGCCAAAACATGACACTGGACACTTCGGCAGCTGTGCAGGGTTACCAAAACAAAGTCTAAAAAAATAAGGTCAGATACCATACTGGGTTTAGGCACATATGAAACAGATTTACTCGAGTGGTTCCAAAGTCTCAGAAAATAAATTACTTCTATCCCATAGTCAAATATGCCTGGGTTCATCCTAACAAATGCCTTCTTTACCTAAAATACTGTTAAAAAATAATATAATTAATATAGACATTTTCATTGTATTAATTTTTAATGGGTCCCAGATCAAATCCCTTGAAATGCGAAATTGGTCTTCTCAAAGTTTACCTACTGAAATGTCTCGACTCTCTGCTGGAGTGGACCTTTGTGTTGCTGAATGCCAGAGCAAATGCCACTGCTCTGTTTATGGCTGCTGCTTATGTAATGTGGAAAATACAATATAATTCATGTCAGGGCAGTGCGGTCCACACGGGCACTAAGTGAATGAGAGGAAGTGAGAGGTACACAGACTAGCGCCATAACTACATACACTGTGTATTCTGGGACTGACTGATAGCTGCTGTCGCACTCGCTGAAGAGATTAAAACGCTCCACTAAATGCCAGTGCTGAGTGTCTATTATTGGGGATGAATACCATCACAGGGACAAGGTCCAAAATATTTACTTAAGAGTGGAAAAATACTACCAGTTTGTTTAAGTTTGACATACCATTATGGTGCCATTAGAGGCCCTCCATTCTGTGCCCGCAGAGCCCAAGGCCAGTGTGACTTCACCTGGTCCAGATCTAATCCTCAGGCCCAGTCCTGGAACTGTCTGTTTCCTGTCCTGGATGTCGTGTGGGGTCATAAATGGTCATTCAGTGATCTACAGGACGAGCTTAGGACTACCTGCTTTACTGGTTAATCAGTATTAGTCTGAAACTACAACATTGACATAACAGTCTAACAGAAGTCAGTGTACACATGGACAGTAATCAGACTCTCTCCATAACCTTCTATGTTGTATAATCACAGCCTCACTGGTGCAAAGTACATAGAATGTAGCCAAGGTAGTGGGTACCTCACATCAGCAATGGCACTGGTTTGATTCCTGGACTGCTGGAGCCTCTCTGTATGAAACACAATCAGTTAAATCAATTTGGGAACTTGGGTTGAAAACATTATGCAAAAAATGTAATAATAGTTAAAAAGGTTCAGATACCAGTATAGTATCTATGTTATCTTTACTCTCAACATACCTTTCCACTCTCCACCCAAGCAGTAATGATATGAAACACTTTTACTTCATCCACCATCCACCAATCCTCATAAAGACAATGTAAAAGTACACTTATAGTGTTTTTTCATCATTATCCTCAGTGTTATTTTTTGTGCAATGAGGCCAGGTTAAACTGTAGTCCACTTGTATAGTATTAACCCAGGCTGGTGACCTTTGCTATAACAGACAGTGGACAGTGGGAGCAGATTTGAGGCTGACCAGTCTTCTCACCTTCATTATATAACACATACACACTGGGTCAAACAGCCTCCTTCTGGAAGTGTCTTGTTGCTCAGACCGGCTTTGGGCTCAGACAAGAAGTGCTTTTCTTATTTGTCTGAGCAAATCCTTCAAGTGAATGTGTGACTGTGTGAAGGATGCTCTAATCACCATGGAGCTTTCAGAGTGGATCTTAATAAGGCACTGTGTTGTTGACTGCTGTTTAAGATGTTGTCAAGTCATGTTGTTGTTCAGTGTCTGATTACCATGCGCTTGTTTTTGGGTTAATTATTATTATTTTTTTCAGATACTAACTCTACATGATTGTTATTTTTACATGTATTTTAACTCCATTCATTAATTACTACAGCGTCATTATCATCGTGTTTTTCCCCTATCATTTTTTTTTCCCTAACTCAACCATAACACCCAGCCCTTCTTTCTTTCCTTTAGCCAATGAAGCATCCTGGCCTAGCTTGAGTAAGAGTTTATCTGACTGGAGAAACAACAGTCCTGAGCAGGTATCACATAAGTACTTCTATGAAAGTTATGTGAAGTATAGTAGCAAGTACACAATATAAATACCCCATGTTCTTGTTTCCCCAGCCAATTACCTCTGGCTATGGTACATATCCCAGTGCCACCCACCAGGTGGCACACCACTCTACCACCAGCTCCCTGCCCCGCTCTGCCCCTGGCACTCTGGGCTGGCCTCGCTCCAGTTCCAATGCCACCTCTTCGTCCTCTTCATCATCATCCTCCCAACAAATTCAACAGCGCATTTCTGTTCCACCCAGTCAAGGTAATGTCTCAACCCATGCTGACGTTAACAAGGTTTAAATGTGATTTGTGTTAAAGGGGAGTGCTTGATGGTCATTTCTGCTCAGGTTCACTGTCTCCTCAAACAGAGCGGACAGACCACCCTCCAGCTGTGGCAGTGCGGCCCTACGTCCCAGAGCACTCCTCCAGACCGCAGTCACCGCGCAAGGGTCCAGCCACTATGAACAGCAGCTCAATCTACAGCATGTACCTGCACCAGCCGCAGGCCAAAAACTATGGCTCTCTGAGCAACAGAGCAGCTGTCAAAGCAGGTACACTCTATATCAGTCACAAAGCATGCAGTGCACAAGCAACATAAATAAACTAAAATGTATTTATTTATCTTTGCAGTGTACGGAAAACCAATCCTCCCAAACTCCTCTGCCTCGCCGTCCCCTGTCCCCTTCCTCCACGGAGGGTCAAAAGGAGAAGATGTTCCAGATAAAGATGGAGGTAAACCTGGAGCAGTCGAGGGCAGTGATGGACATGTGATCGCTCCTCCCAGCGTGGACAGCATCCCCCGCCCACTCAGCCCCACCAAACTCACTCCAGTGGGTACGTATTAGAAGCACTCAGCCATAGAACCGTGAAACTAAGTGAAATGGTGTGTGAAGAAGGGGGACTGAAAGTTCATAGTAATTTATGGTCCCGTCATGCAGTAAAAACTTGCACCATAATACAGTATTTCTCACTTTCACAGCCCACTCCCAGCTCAGATACCAGAGCGATGCAGACCTAGAGGTTCTTCGTCGTCGCCTTAGCAACGCCCCACGACCCCTGAAGAAACGCAGCTCAATTACAGAACCAGAGGGGCCACAGGGGCCGAACATTCAAAAGCTGCTTTACCAAAGGTCAGAGGTGTACTCCAATTAAAGCATGACAAACAACTATAAGACTTAATGGCCCAGTATTTAAAATTGTTTTTCAACTCCTAACTTCAATAGTTTTCAATTTCGGAAACCACTATTCACAACTTATATTTACATAACATCAGTCTTACAAGTCTTATATGCATAATTTAAGTTACCTGTGGAAAGGTTTCTCCATACAGAACATTTGACAAGCTAAGTACTTATAAAAATAAATATAAACACAAACAACAGTTCAGCCAAAGACAGAGCCCTTACTATTTACTCCCATTTTGTGATAGGTTCAACACTTTGGCTGGAGGCATTGAAGGAGTCTCTGGTATGTACTTAACCATGTCCTCATTTAATCACAACTTAAATGTGTTATTATGCCTAACCTACTATTATATTTCAGCCAACACTTTTTACCAACCCGACTGTCTACTGGGCGATATGGAGAACTTACAATTGGCCAATGGCAGTATTGAGTCCAGTGACAAGCATGCCCCTGCACCTGCCCCAGAAGGCGAAGGAAAGAATACGGTGAATACGGATACTCACCTGCGCCTGTCCCCTTCATCTGCTGTGAAAGAAACGCCCAAAGACACAACACCCGAAAAAGCCAATCACGTTTCCCCATCCAAACAACCAGGCTCCTCCCCCACTCCTGATAGGCCAGAGGATCAGAACAATAACAAACAGAACAGTATTAGTCCCGCCCGTAATTCTGTAAGCCACTCCTCCCCATCGCCTTCACCTCCTGCTGCACCTGCACAGCCTAAGGTAAAAAGACACACAGTGTAATATGTTCTATATGAACCTGTTTGAGTTTAATATCGCTTTCTATTGTGGGCTATAGGTGAAGCGAACCAACCTAAAGAAGCCGTCATCGGAGCGCACTGGTCATGGTCTCCGAGTGAAGTTTAACCCACTGGCACTGCTGCTAGATGCATCTTTGGAGGGAGAGTTTGACCTGGTGCAGAGAATTATATATGAGGTAACTATAAGGGCTGCAAGGGTTAATCGGAATAATCGTGACCAGTTGTGGGGACATGCAAGTCGTGACTTGGACTCCAGTTAGACTTGAGTCACTTTTTTAAGGACTTGAGACTTGACTTGATAAAATAGACTAAGACTTGGGACTTGACTTGGACTTGAAGGTCAGTGACTTGTTACTTGACCCAGACTTGAGGCCTGTGACTTGAGAAGACTTGATGCTTCTCCTAAAAAATAGATGTTTTAGAAAATACTTCTCTTTACAGTTGATAAATGCGGAGCCGAATTTTACAGGAACTGAACATGTCCCTCCCACTTCTGTGTTTGGTACTTTGAATGTAACTTAAGTACTGTGACGTGGTATCATCATATGTACTACAATATATATAGAGTACAATACAGTAATATACAGTACAATACAGTAAAAGAGAGAACTACATAGAACTTGATCCTTCCATTTCAGTGCAGACTACAAGACAAAATAACTGCATTTTTAAATCTTAATTCTTTCTCTTCTCACTAAGGAGACACTTAGAATTTGTCAAGGCATTTAAAAAGGAAAACTTAGCATTTCTACAACTCTATAAACACTCATATATAAATATACCATGGCTTTTTTAAGTACAGTTTAGTTTAAATTCATATAAACTGCAAAAATCTAAGCTCTATTTGGTACTTTGGTTTAAAGACTTGAAATGACTTGAACCCCAAAGCAGACAACTTATGGGCCAGTGACTCGAGACTCGACTTGGACTTGCCTGTATTTGACTTGAGACTTGACTCGGACTTGAGGTCAAAGACTTGAGACTTACTTGAGACTTGCAAAACAGCGACTTGGTCCCACCTCTGATTGTGGCTAATCAAATATTAAAATAATCATGATCGTCTTTTGATAATCATTAACATTATCTGGACCCTTCATAACAAAGGCATTATTAAATAAAAATATTTAATTCATAAATGTTCTTTATCTAGAAGCCTACCAAACTACTAAAATACTAAAATATTCAACTACTTAAGAACCAAAATAATCATTGGTTGCTGGCCTAGTGACTATGTGAATCTACCTACATTTGGTTGTGTTGGGTACAGTTATACAAGCATTTTATATGCCAAAAACACCCACACACCAGTGCTACCACAGCAGGCAGCATGTCTCTACCTTTTTGACAAAACGTTGACTTATCTTTGATCCTTGGCAGCATTGTCAGAGCAAATATTCCTGCTCGTGCTTTAATAATACTCAAAACAAAAGAATAATGTTTTGTAGCAGAAACAGAGAGCTTATAAGAACAAAGCACATCCTATTCCATTGATGCCATCTCCCACACAATTTTTGATTTCTTAGAAAAAAAAGTGTTTGGTATCATTATCCATGACAGCCAAATCTTTTCTAAGAAATATCTTGATACAAGTCACCAGCCAATTTTAAAACAAGCTAAACTAGAATATTCTGGGCTTAAAACTAGTTTCTTTTCAGTGTTAGGCAAAATTGTTTGAGTACTGAGAAGCAACTCTGTGACTTGAGTGGCAGAAAGTGTGAAGTGTAGGTTCACTATGTCAATATTTACATATTGTTGAGTTATTTTATTTATTTAAATACCACGGTCAATAAACTAAAATGAAATATGGGAGTTGACATGTACTGAATATATCCCTGTATATTGTTGCAGATTTGATCTACTGGATAAAAAAATAAGCATGAATTGTCAAATAAGCAGGTGTGGACCATTCCATTGTGCTGCTCCACTGTCTCAAATTAACTTTGTTTGTGTGTTTTAGGTGGAAAACCCGAGCATGCCCAATGATGAGGGCATCACTCCCTTACACAATGCGGTCTGCGCTGGTCACCACCACATCGTTAAATTCCTGCTGGACTTCGGAGTGAACGTGAACGCAGCAGACAGTGACGGATGGTGAGCGCCTTCAATCATGTTATAGACTAATGAGGGAACGCTGCCTTCTGAAGGACTAGAGGGCGTCTGCTAATGAACAGGTTATGCTGCTGCCCATAGCAAACAATGGAAGACATAATAGTGTTTCCAAATTTGGATTGAGGTCCGCGAGACGAAGTTATTACAAGTCTAATAAGCTTCCATATCAAAACTCACTTAAATTGATTAATGGACCGTTCCACTCAATTCATGTTTGACTAATGTCATCTAATTTTATGCCTTCATTAATGTGTGTATTACATTTGGACATGTCTTATGAATAAAGCAAAGCCCATACAAAATTACGTCCGTTATATAGCTCCATTCAGTTCATACATGAAGCAAGAACTGGTTTCATTGCATTTTTGACCCTACAATTTTTCACATAAAGTACTGGGGATATGCAGGGAAAACTTAAGTGTGAATAAGCCCAGAAAATTGCCAATCTGAGTTAGTTACGAGTTTGGTTTCCGTGGTTACGAGCCTGGTTAAGTGTGAAGCAGTGTGCTGGGACTGAGTGCATGTGTGAATGGGGGTCATTGCTAAGTGTTCATGATTTGATTTTCCCAGGACTCCTCTTCACTGCGCAGCTTCCTGTAACAGCGTGCACCTGTGTAAAATGCTGGTGGAATCCGGGGCGGCCATTTTTGCCACGACCATTAGCGATGTTGAAACAGCTGCAGACAAGTGTGAAGAGATGGAGGAGGGATATACGCAATGTTCACAGTTCTTATATGGTAAATTTAAGCTATGCAATAAATTAATATCACAAAAACAACTAAATAAACTTTTTTTTTCTCAGGTGTGCAGGAAAAGTTGGGTGTCATGAATAAGGGCCTGGTGTATGGTCTGTGGGCCTACACGGCGCAGCAGACTGATGAACTGTCCTTCAGTGAGGGGGACGCCATCACCGTGTTGCGACGCCGTGACGACACTGAGACAGAGTGGTGGTGGGCGCGGCTCAACGACCGCGAGGGATATGTGCCCCGGAACCTGCTGGGGGTAAGGCGGCACAAAGCACAACTCTTCATGTATTTGCAGAGGTGGGACTTGAGACTTGAGACTTGTGTCACTATTTTTAGGACTAGAGAGCTTGACTTGATAAAATGGACTAAGACTTGGGACTTTACTTGGACTTGAAGGTCATTTACTTGGGACTTGACTCAGACTTGAGGCCTGTTACTTGAGAAGACTTGATGCTTCTCCTAAAAAAAAAAGTTTTTAGAAAATACTTTTCTCTTTTCAGTTGATAAATGTGGTGCTCAATTTTACAGGAACAAACTGGAACATACCCCCCCACACTTCTGTTTGTTACTTTGGATGTAACTGAAGTACTATGATGTGGTATCCTCAAATGTAGTGCAGTGATATACAGTACAATACAGTAATATACAGTATATAGAGTACAATACAGTAATATACAGTATATAGAGTACAATACAGTAATATACAGTATATAGAGTACAATACAGTAATATACAGTATATAGAGTACAATACAGTACATGATCCTTCCATTTCTACATGACAAAATAATTGTTATTAAGCACTTTTAAATCTTAATTAAAAAGGAAAACATAGCATTTCTACAACTTTTATACAAATGTTCATGACCTTTTAAGTACAATTTAAATTATCATTAGCAGAAATCTAAGCTATATTTTGTATTTTGATTTAAATACTTGAAATGACTTGAAGCTCAAAGCAGACGACTTGGACTTGACTTGAACTTATGTGCCAGTGATTCGAGACTCGACTTGGATTTGCCTGTCTTTGACTTGGGACTTGACTCAGACTTGAGGTCAAAGACTTGAGACTTACCTGAGACTTGTAAAACAATGACTTGGTCCCACCTCTGTGTAGTTGTATTGTTTGTACATAAGTCTGGGTTATTTTACTGGTTAAGTTTGATATAGTTTAGTCTTAGCCTTGGGACAGATTGTGAATGTAGCTGTAATTTTGTTGCTGTTGCTTTTACGTAACATTTATTTGACAATGTGTTTCGACTGAGGTTTTGGTATTGTTAATTGGAGCACTTGTTGACAAAGTTCCTCTATACTCAAAGGACAGAACTGAGGAAATGCGTTTAGCAAAAAAATGTATATATCTAGGGCTTACATTATCTGTGCAATACAGTGCTCTTCAGAGGTCTGTAGAAATATCTGCTGGGTAATTTATGCCTTGGGGAGTACAGAGTCACATATTCTATAATGCGTGTGGCTCGTGCTTTTATTAGAACAGCTGAACTACTTTAATAAAACTGTCCAATAATACTGAGAGCCTTACCCAGCCCAGGCTCAGCAGCTGTGTCCTACTGTATAGAACGCTGTCTCACTATATACAGAAAGGGTTCCATTTCTCCACCTGTTTATGTGGCTATACAATGACTCCTAATAAGGACAATAATGCATTATATTCATTGATTGGACACTTGAAAAACACATGTGCTAATAAGCTGCTATTGTTGCCACAGCTGCCCTAGGACTGACTAGCAGAAATGTGGCTGTGAATCTGTGCCAGTGGCTTCTCTGCCCACTACAAATCACTCATTAAAATTCATGCATATACAACATACATATACACATACCTAGGCAACATGTGATGCGTAAAGTGTCTTGCCAAAGGGCACAACACCATTATGCGCTAACCACTGAGCCACTGCTGCCCCAATTCCTGTTTATTTTGAGTTATCCAGATATAGATTTGAATTTTTTTGTGTTAATTCGATGCACTGACCCAATCCTCTCTCTTTTTGGTCCTCTCTGCAGCTGTATCCCAGGATCAAACCCAGACAGCGCTCACTGGCTTAGGGCCCAGATCTGGGACCACGTGAACTGGCAGGCAAAGCAGGGAGCATGCACGAGAAGCGCAGCAGCATGTGAGCCAAGGCATTATCGGAAGAGGAGAGATAAAAATATAGAAGTGGAAATACGGAAACATGGACGGATGAACTTTTGATTTTTTTCTTTGTATGGATAAGAAAACAAAGAAGCTTGAATGTTGTTTTATGAAGCGGAATAAAACATTGCTGCATGAGAGAGATGCTTAAGAATCCTTTCACCAATGCACCATTTGGATGTAACTTTTGCGCCCAACTTTAGTTTATTTTTGTATGGCTGAAAAGTGTTCATCTTCGCGCCATAGAAGCATGCATCCTCTTCTCAAATGCAATGAAAACAGTATGCAAACACTATGACGGTGTGTTTAAAATAAGCTAAAAATGAAGGACAGTGAAGAAGGAGAATGAATGTGTAGGAGGGCAGAGTTAGGTGCAATAAAAGTTCAAGGCAAGTCTTTTTTGTATGTTCGTAGGTGAGTGGACTGTTTTGAGTTTTGGTAAAAATGTGTGATATGTGGAGTCTATGAGAGGATGATAGGTTTTTTGGTGCATAAATATGGGTTTAAGAAAAGAAAGAAGACAATTTAGCTATGCTGTGTCATTTTCCACTAATAAAAGCTGGCCGTTACACTAACTTAATGACCTATTTTGTGTATATTATATTCTGAACAAACTGTGTAAAATGGTGTTTCCTATGGGACAACATTAAAAAGTGTTGAATGAAATGATCCCACAAAGTTAAATCATAACAGAGATGTTACAAAAGTTTGATTGTAACATTGTGGGGAAAAAAATCTGATATTTTTTTTACATAAAGTATTTATATAACATAGTTGAATCAATGTGTTTATCTCATAATTGTGCTGCTCTGTTTAATTTCAAACACTGAGCATTGTTTTTTCATACAAATGCTGTACTATATTTCACAGGTCTAACTACAGTGTGACATGTTTTGTGCCACTCACTGCTGCCACCTAGTGTACAGATCAGCGACGCGTGTAAGTTTATATAGAGGCTGACATTGCTTCTTAATGTAAATGTAGGCCTAAACCATTTCATATTGTGCAAAAGCAATGTTTCACATACTGTGTACAGTATTAATAAAATATAGTGCAGAGAACCAAAATGTCTGTTTTTTTTTATTATTTCTATGCATCGCTGCTTATTCAATGGACCTATCAATCATCTATTATATATTTATTTATTTTAATGAGACAGGGACAGTGCATAATTTACATGAACCTTAACAGGAGAGATGCTTTGTATCAGGTTGTCGCACCAGTGCCAATTTCCACCTGTCGTCCCTGAGCAGATTAGTTGATTGTAGTTAAATGACTTTAGCTATCAGCTGTTCTTCCTGGAAACCTGCAGCATGTTGGGTTAATATGTAATAATAATAATAATAATAATAATAATAATAATAATAATAATAATAATAATAATGCATCTGTTTTATATAGCGTGGACATTCACCACCATCACTCACGGACACGCCTCCTTCATAAAATATTGCTTAACAGTTAAGTAAAAGTGACATGAGGTGAAAGAGTTAAGCCTTAACTCTCACCTCATCTCACCTTTACTCTTTTTAATTATGGATGACTATAAACCGTGGACTTTATCCAGGTGAAGGACTAGGCTTATTCTCAGCAAAAGTGCGACAGGTAAGTTTATTTACTGATCGCTTTATTTCTTTTTTATTGGTTAAAATAGGCCAATTTATAAAACGCAATGGCTCTTTTTTGTAACATGGCTGTTTTTATAACAGTGAACCTAATTGTGTTCATTTTAATAATATATGCGCTTTTCAAAATAACTACTTGCTGTTTATTTTTAGTTATGGAAAATGCTTTATTTTGAAAAACATAACCGGAAGTGTACCTTATCAGTAGCTCCCTGCATGTAGCATGGGACAGATTTTAAAGAATGATTAATTATTTGTCTGCTTAAATTTAATGCCATTATTTAATGGTCAAAGAAACGGTCATCTCGAGGTTTTCGTTAAGCGTAAGATATTTTTGGTTTTCTACAAACGCTATGAATCAACTTTACGATTGTTGTGGTGAAACAAGCCATTACGGATGGTGCATGCACGCAAACTATATAAACTATATGCATTTATGTATTTCTTTCTATTATCAAATGCGTCATGCTCTGTTATTGCTATATTATTGCTAGGCTATGTTATACACAAAGATTAAGAATGATCATGAAAAACTGAATTCGTATTTTGCTTTACCCCTTTTGCTTTGGCAGTGAGGTTAGGAGCACCATGGCTGGACACTTTCATCTAAACACTCCTCTGCTGGAGAGCACTGGCATGTCCAAACGAATGGGCACCACTGTCTATCTCAAGATGGAGAACTCCCAGCCCGCTGGCTCCTTCAAGATCCGGGGAATTGGACACCTCTGCCAAAAGGTAGCCTATTAATTCTCAATCATTCATAGCCTACTTACAGGTGCATTGTGTAACTTTTGGTGGAGGGTTCGTCACCAGTTTCTCTCCATGGAGGTGTTACCTGGAATGTTCCATAGTATGCCATTACATTTATTTAGCTCTATAGAGACAACAGGTGATGCCACAGGGCCAAGTTACATGTCTAATCTGTGGAGAAGTGAGCCCACTGACAGTTAGAATCCAAGTTTTGAAGTCACCTATGTTACTGAGTAAATGCAAGATTGATACGCTTAATGTCACACCAGGACATTACAGACAAAGCCACAACATCTCCATGGAGACAAGCAGATGGCAGACCCTCCACCAGAAAAGTTATACAGTGATGAAAGTTAAATAACATTACAGCTTTGCCTAATCATTGATGAAACCTTCTTTTCACAGCTTGCCAGTCAGTCAAAAGGGTTGGTTTGCTCTTCAGGTAATTTCACATTTTGTAATTTTGAGATAATATTCTTCTTTTTTTAACATGACGTTGTGGGCTTTTTGTAGGTGGTAATGCAGGTATGGCTACTGCTTATGTGGCCAGAAAAATGTGTGTACCAGCTATAATTATAGTTCCTTCCTCTACTCCTCAACTGGTGGTCCAGCGACTGCAGGATCAGGGGGCCACTGTTAGGATAGTAGGCAAGGTCATAGGATTTCCAAACATATTTAGTCTATTCAATGTTGGATTTAGAATAGAATAATAAGCCTTTTTTTCTTTAAATTTAGGTATGGGATGATGCCAATACAGAAGCTCTTCGATTGGCAGATGTTGAGGGCCTCACATATGTTTCTCCTTTTGATCATCCACTTCTCTGGTAAGGAAACAAATATACTTATGGTCTTCAAAAAAAAAATGTTGAAAAATGTTGGGAAAAAAAACAACAAAAAAACAGGTGTTCATCAAGGAATATTTAGAAACAAAACAAGCTTTTACTGTCTTCTGTTGTGTGGGCAAGAATCAAAATCCAAGATGTAATGAGTGATAATATGAAAACTGAACAGAAACTTTTTTGAAAGGTCCATCTATGGGGTGTGCCACCTTCTTGTCTCTGTGGAGATATTAATACCCTGGCTAGAATGTTCCACAGCATAGCATTTAACTTATCTATCTCCATGGAGACAAGCAGGTGACACCACAAAGTCTAGTCACAGGGTAGATTCAAGAGCTGACCCTGCTCACAGTAAGAATTAATTGTTTAATGGAATTGCGACAAGCATAAAAGTTGCATAGTGCAACTGTAATGAGTAAACCCAGACTGTGCCCTCTGCAGGGAGGGCCATGCCAGTGTGATAACAGAGTTGGCCGGCTCCCTGGGGCAGGGGGTGAAGCCTGGAGCGGTGGTGGTGTCTGTGGGCGGAGGGGGGCTGCTGTGTGGAGTGGTCCAGGGGCTGAAGAGCGTGGGGTGGGCGGATGTACCTGTCCTCGCCATGGAGACTGTGGGAGCCGACTGTTTCAACGCTGCAGTTAAAGCGGGCAAAGTGGTCACCTTAGATGACATCACCAGGTTAGAAACTTAATATTTTGAGTCGAGATGTCACAATATCAAATTTTAGTTATGATTGTTGTGAGACTCAAGACCAAATCTGTTTTATCTGATACTCTTCCATTCTTTAGTATGTGATTAGCATTTCTGAATCAAACTTTCTGAACAGTTACCTAAAGTTGTTGTCATAAACAGCCAGATAAAGCACTTTACATTTACTTTTTTCAGTATATTTTAAGTTGAAATTCCTTATTTTACGATATTTCTATCAGAATTTACAGAAAATGTTCATCTAAAATATATTTTTTCTTCTGTTTGTCTGCAGTGAGGCAAAATGTCTTGGAGCGAAGACAGTCAGTGAAAAAGCCTTTGAATACAGCCAGTCCAAGGAACTTAACATCATTTCAGAATTGGTCACAGATCAGGAGGCCCTGCATGCTGTTGAAACATTTCTGGGTCAGTAGCAAGGCATATAATTTGTGAACTGTGGGCAAAAAGTCACCAAAATAAATGTCTTTAATGGTAAAGCATAAATAAATAATGATTGTTTTGTCTTGTAGATGAAGAGCGCGTGCTGGTGGAGATGGCATGTGGAGCTGCCCTTGCCTCTGTCTATAGTGGGGTTATACAGCGGCTACAAAAAGAGGGTAAACAGTATTATTAAAATCTGCATTGTTTATTTATTTATTTATCATTTATTTGAATAAGGACAGATATAACAAACATAGAATAACAGTTTAGTCTGATTCAGGTGTCACAGTGTTTATAGCCAAGGCTAATTCACAACACCAGTCCCCAGAAGGGCTTTTAAACAGTTCACTAAAATGCAGTGGGATTTTTGGTAGAAAAAGCAATACATATCTTTATACTACCATTATGCCTAAAAGACTGATCATTACCTTTATTTTAATATATTTTGTAGGGATGTAACAATAACTGAAATATCGTGATATCGTATTGTCAAAGTTCTCAACAATAATATCGTGGACCATCACAATATATCGAATTACAAGTCTCTTTGCTTAAATTAAGTTAGAGTTATTGTGCTAAAAATAAAGAGAGAGGGAACTACATAGACCATGATCCTTTGCTCCATTTCAGTGTAGACTACAAGAATAAATAACAGTTCTAAGCACTTTTAAATCTTAGTTCTTTGGATTAAGTCTTGTTAAAGCATTTTAAGATTAAAAAATGGCATATTAACATTAACATTATTTTGTTAGCCTCCACAAAATATTGCAATAAATATCGTATTGTGAGATGTATAGCGTGAAAATATCAAACAGAGTGATTTGGATATTGTTACATCCCTAATCATGAGCCTTCCCACCATATCATGAGTTTTCCCACGATATTGCAATAAATATTGTACTGTGAGGTTCATAGCGTCACGATATCGTATCGTGAGACTTGGAAATTGTTACACCCTAATATTTTGTTCTTTGTAACTTCTTAGGCCGCCTGCCTGTTTCTTTGGGTCCCGTGGTGATCATTGTGTGTGGAGGCAGCGGTGTGGACATGCAGCAACTCTCCCAACTCAAGAAAAAACTTCAGGGATAATCCACCACAATATATGCCCAAAATACAAACATAAAACAAACTAGCAATGGATCCATGAAGGATGTAATGACACAGATGATATATATTTTTTGTCACGTCACCTTCAACTGTAATGACTTTATTTGCCAGGCGATGGTGCTATTGTTCACTTTTGTGTAGCTGCTGTTGGAGGTTGTTTTCCACCTCTGAACACCTGCTATTTGAGACCACATAATTTATCATGCTTATAATAGAAATGTGTAATTTTAGAATGTGATTATTTTCTTTTTCCTAGTCCAGTGCCACAGTTCTTCAAAACAGTTCAGAATTTAACAACATAATACCAGACCCATAGTATAATTTTTCATTATTATAGATGCATATTCAGATCTAAAATGAAATATAATTTTTATGCTTACATGATGTGCTTTCACCCACAGCTGAAATTTATCAGTCCAGTCAACTTGTGTTGTGTGGGAAGCCATTACTATGGAAACGGCACTTCAGTTTTATTCCTGTAACATCAGTGTTTTTATAATCTTTGTGATTTCCATTTCAGACACTGGAATAAAAAATAGACCTCTTTTGGTTTAGTATATTTTTTTTATTTGTATCATTGTATATTTTGGGGTAAGACAAGTCTATATATAACATATAGACTACATTTTATTCAAAAACTGTTCCAAATATAAAACAATATTTGAGTAAGCAAACAAGGATTACTTAGCAAATTGTATGGATGTGTATGAGGAACTGAGATAGGCCCATAACAATAGCAGCTGGCTTATGGAGCGGAGTAATCCTCTGGAATTCTCTTGGTGTTCCCTATAGAAGCCAAGGTCAAAATTCATCCACGCTGTTACGTTTTGATTGGATGAAAGGGCCTAATTTCTCTTCCATCTCATTTATTATTGATAGGTTTTATTAAGCACTCTTGAAATACTTTTACCTGACCCGCGCTTAAGTGTAAATCAGAAACTAATGGTCAGGTTAAACCATTTCTATGACAACATGAAGAAAATGTTTGACAAAAACGCATGGAAAGAAATGGAGCATGTCAGTTCAGAGAAATAAATCCAACCAAATATAGCAGGAACAGATTTTAGAAGTTACAACAATATACAAAACTTGTACAGTTGAATACATGCTACTGTTGTTTCCCTTAAAATTTCTCTCTCCTGTTGCGGCCTCGTCTTGACTGTGATTCCTGTTTGTCCTAATATGGCCACTGACCACTACCAGTACTTCCTACACTACTGCTGCTACCACTATACTACATTTTTCTACTGCTACAGAAAACTACTACCTTCATTACTCTTGTTTGACACTTTGTATTTACTAATCAGATTTTGGCAGTCCTTTCTATTGTAACACTTATCACCAATTTTTTGCCTGAACTAATGATGTGGTTTCTACTCAGATGGAAATTTCACTAATCCTCAATCCCCAAAGATCCTCCATCTCCCCAGCTTGGGACCGCAGACTCACAGCCAAAATCCTCTCATAATAGCATCACTTATCTAATTACCTGTCCATTAGGATTGGTACATTTTTGCAGCCATCTCTGCTCTCCCCCTGGTTTTCGACTGAAGAAAAATACCTAATTTAGCCTCACCGGATCTGATCTGAAAGCTGTATGTATCCATGACAACCTGATGACAACGTGGTGAGTTTAAATTAAGCTCCAAAGACTCAATGGAGCCATTATACAAGCATAAAGGCTCAAAGAATTCACATGAAATTAGCAGTCATTAATTTGCTTTCAAATGGAATGGGCAACAGTGATAGGGTTTGACTTTAAAGGTGGACTCAATACATAACTTCTGATAGAGGGTTCACCACCTAGGATATTGTTTGGAATGTTCCACAGTGTGCCATTAAACATATTCATTTTGCATCTAGTTAATTATTCTGGTGTTTTTGTTGCTTTGGGCTACGTTTATATGATGATGGTCTGAACAGAAGATGCAAAAGTGGTGTTACGTCTTCACTTTTTATTCTGTGTTTAAGACAAGCGTTTTTTGTGGAATTTGACTGGGTATGCATGCCAGGCGGTTAGGTGGTGACACTAGGTAGTGATGTATGTGACGTAAACGTGCACACGATGTGAGCAGATCTGACCAGTTTTGCATCTTGGGCAGTGTAGACGGAAACACTATGATGGAGCGGAGGGTGGTTTGAGATTTTTGTGTTTTTAAGCCCCAAAAACGCTGTCACCGTCTAAACCAGGAGTGTCAAACTCAAATTCACAATGGGCCAAAATTAAAAACTGGGACTAAGTCGTGGGCCAAACTGAATATTTATTGAAAAATGTCAACAACATCTGCATGTTTTCTCTTCTTTCGAGATATGTAATGTTAAACCCTTTCTTATTAAAATAAATATTTAATAATAGTTTTGCTTAAACATCCAGAATCCAGAACAAGCATAATATAAAACAACAACAACATTTTAAATCTCACAGCCCAAATCTAAGTATATCATGGACCAAATTTGTCCCCCGGGCCTGACTTTGACATGTCTGGTCTAAACGAAAGGCACTTCTGATACAATATTTTGTCGTTTTTACCTGCATGCGTTCTTGTGTAAACAGGCCCTTAAATAGATCAAGGAAAATGGCGTCACCTGCTTCTCTCCATGGGGATAATTAAGCTCAATATTTTACTGTGAAATACACAACAAAGCAAAGCTATAACATCCCTTGGTGACCCTCAACCAGAAAAGTTACAAAGTCTAGAAGTGTACAACGTCTAAGAATATCCTATATTCTTAGAATGCAGGACGAGAGGACAGCCTAAACAAGTTCGGGACAATAACACAAATGGGGTCAGCTATCTCACTGTAGTATTAGTATCTGAAAAACATAATAATGTGAGAATTCCCTTTAAGATTTATGTATCCATGGGCTTCAGTCAAATGTCACTTGTAATCCTCTTTACAGGCTGGACCAAGCCCCTTAAAGCTCTACTGTAGTCATTATTCATTCACTCCAACACTCAGCAATGGTAAGCTGCTATTGAAGCCACAACTGCCCTAGGGAAGACTGCCAAACTGCACCATCAGCCCCTCCGACCAACACCACTCACTCATGCACATTCATACTAAGCATGGGTGAAGTTTTTTTTTTTTTAATTAATAAGTAACTTCAAATATACAAGACGCAAGTTGGGCAATAAGAAAAAATAGATAACGTTCTAATGCCATTGACAGGCTGAAGTGGAGAATAATAATAATAAAATTTAAAAAAAGAATAATAGTAAATAAGCACATAAAATACATTTCATATTGCAGGGGTTATCGGAGTTCATATGTAATTAAGTAAACATATAGTGAAGACATAAAGATAAGTTCATTTTCCTTCATTGTCCATAAAAGGGTTAAAGTTCATTGTCCAAAAGGGGCTGGGGTTGTGTAGTCATCAGGTCATGGAGAATATTATACAGGAGAGACAGGTGCTTAAGCGTGGGTGAAGTGTCTTGCCTTAGGACACAATAACAGCAATCAATCCTCTGACCTTCTGGTTGGAGGACCTCTGCTCTAACCACTGAGCCACTGACGGGTGCAGACAGAGATGGGAGGAGAAGGGACCTATAGAACTAGAAGATATAGGTACATTTACGGAAATGTCTGTACATTTCAAGAACAGTACACACATCTTTTTTTCTTTTTTTGTTTGTTCTTGCTGCACAAAACAGCTATTCTCATTAGTAATTACCTCAGGCTGCTTCCCTTGTTTAATTTTTAAATAACAACAACAATGTTTGACCTTTTTGATTTGCAGAACATGATAGAACAACTGAACACATTTTCAAAACAACAAAAACAACAACACAGTGAAAAAAAAATCCTCTTATCTCTTAATTATGAGTGTCTATGGTAAATGTAACCTTTGACATGTCAGCCTAATCAATGAGCGTTTTTCCTCCTTGCAGTGAGCGCAGAGACACATTTGCGGCCTGTGGAGACTCCTGCTGTTTCTCAAAGATCATTCACCTGAAATCAGCTCACGCTGATGAGGAGCAGAGGCAGTGGTCGTGGGAGAGGAGAGAGCTATTGTAAGGAGAGCTAAGTGCCTTAAAAGCTCTGGCCCTTTATGTCTGCTGTTTTAAATCAGCTGTATTTTATAGCAGAAGGATCACAGAGATATATTTAGCATTAGATCATAAGCTGAATCATAAGCTCAGTGTGCGTCTGCGTTTTTTCATCTATCGGATTATGGTGACAGGTATTACATGTTCAGTTTGGCTAAGCCCCTAATAGCATCACAGGTACTCAGCAATAGATTCCAAACATTGTAATTTATTCCAATGTCTCTATTCAAATTCACACAACAACAACATATCTCAAATAAAAAAATAAGCAGGTAATATTCAGCTTTTATATCTCTTCAAAGATGGAGAGGCCTATTTTCACTACAAGTTTTCACGTATAGAGCCTGAACCCTTTTCTTCCATGGAGATCTTATTGTTTTGTCTGAAATTTTCCACTCAATGACTGACCAGGTGTCATCACCAAACTAAGTATACACATTTTTTGCCATAGAATTGCCTGTAATCTGAATAAATGCTAAATTTAAATGTTTAATACAGTGTTGAGTATTGAGTTTTCCAGGCAAAGCTATAACATTTTCATAATACTTTCTGTCAGAAGACTTGCATAATGTATATTTAAAGTGACAGATACTCAACTACTCATTGTACTAAAACACAGTTAAGATCATTATCATTAAGATTTTTCCATTCACACTTGTTTTCTCAATTTTTTAGGTTTAAATTGTGACATTCCATAACTGTTTCCAAGCAAAACTGTAAGTAAGTAAGTTAGCACTTTTCACAGACATTTGTCACAAAGATGCTCTAATCTGCTCTATACTGCTCTAATGTACACAGAAATTATCTCACAAATACAAATATTAGAAAACACCTTTATTTTGTTGATCGATCAATCCATCCATTTTCTTCCGCTTATCTGGGGCCGGGTCACGAGGACAGCAGTGTAAGCAGGGGCTCCCAGACTTCCTTCACCCTGGACACTTCCTCCAACTCCTCTGAGGCATTCCCAGGCCAACCGAGAGACATAGTCCCTCCAACTTGTCCTGGGTCTTCCCCGGGGCCTCCTTCCGGTGGGACATGCCCAGAACACCTCCCGATGGAGGCGCCCAGGAGGCATCTGGAACACATGCCCGAGCCACCTCAGCTGGCTCCTCTCGACATGGAGGAGGGAACACCCAGCCACCCTACGGAGGAAACTCATTTCGACTGCCTATTTATTATTATTATTATTATTATTTTATTATTATTATTATTATTATTTTTGTTGAATCATGTTTAAAGTATTAGAAAAATGTGTTTCTTTCGTGTAAATTGTCCCTAACACTTGGACAGAAATCTTCCCTTCCTGTAATTTCCAACATATTTTTCAACTTTTCTTCACAAATTGCTTCTTGATTGGTGTAAAACTATAATTTATATTTCAAATTACACCAAATTAAGTCAAAATGAAAACCTGAAAAACTATATTATTATTATTATTATTATTATTATTATTATTAGTAGTAGTAGTAGTATTTTATTTATT